GCCGCTCGGCCTGCTCCGCCTCCGAGTCATGCTGCTGCTAGCGCCGCTACCACGCTCCACTCCCGCCGCCGCCGCCGCCGCCGCCGCCTCTCCCCTCACAGGACAACAGCCAATATGGCGGCGCCCGGCTCCCCTCCGTCCGCTGCCAGCAGGTCAGAGGGCACGCGGAGTCCGCGCCGCCGCACTAGCCCCTGAAGCTGCCTGCGCCATCTTGCATAAGGTCACCACCCGGAGTTCCGTGGGAGAAAGAGCCTGGTGGGGAGACGCCCTCCCCCTCCCCGGGATCTGAGGGACGCGACCTGCCAGAGAAGCGGGTATGAAGTTGTAGTAATTGTGCTGTACGATAAAAGAAACCAAACCTGTTGCCGTCGAGTCGATTCGGACTCATAGCGACCCTATAGGACAGAGAACTGCCGCATAGAGTTTCCTAGGCTGTAATCTTCATGGGAGCCGACTGCCACATTTTTCTCCCGCTGAGCGGCTGTTGGGTTCGACCTGCCAACCTTTTAGTTAGCAGTGGAGCGCTTAACCACTGCACCACCAGGACTCCTTGCACAGCGTTAAGCGCTTAATAATTGCCTGTTGAATGGATGAGTGAATTAATTCATTTCTATAGTGCTAGGTACTTCTGACAACCATCATCTGACTACCCGCAGCAATACAGTGAGGCAGGTATAGTCATTTCCATTTTGCAGCGGAGAAGATCGAGGCTGCAAAAGGCTAAATGGTTGTACGACATCATCCAGCCAGAACCCATGCACTCATGGATGGCCTGAGCTGAAAGGGACGAAGGGATCATCTATGTCTTTATTTGCAGCATATGGTCCACTGGGAAGTCAGTGTTGGTGCTTTGCACAGTGTGACTTCACACCCAGTTCCTGCCCCCTTGGCTGGTGGGGAAGGTGAACACTTAGATATACAGTTACAACCAGTGTGATAAAAGTGAGGTGACTGGGGCATGTCCTAGGTCAGTGGTGTGTGCAGGAGAGGATTTTGAGTGGTACACAAAAGAACATTTAAATATTTTTAATAATTATATATTGTTAAAATGGGATTTTATTTTAATGCGATTCAAATTTTATTTTGTTAGGAAAAATTTTTGTATATTTAATACATGCACATGGTACAAAATTAAAAATAGAAAAGCTTTGAGTGTAGTCTGTCTCATACCAGCCTCAGTGGTACCCTGAAATGGTATGGAGGTTATATGTAGAATTGTTATTGATATCTTCAACAGGGGCAGAATTCTGACATTGGTTTCTTAACTCTCAGAGCAAGGGCTATTTTTAAAAAATACTGTTTTATTGTGCTTTTGGTGAAAGTTTACTGAGTAAATAAGGTTCCCATTTGACAATTTCTATACAAATTGTTCAGTGACATTAGTTACATTTTTCACAATGTGTCAACATTCTCTTTAATTATGTTCTGGTTGTTCCACCATTTCCAGTAGTCCAGTTTCCCTACCCCAATATCTTCTCATCTTTGCTTTACAGTAAATGTTGACCTTTTGGTCTCATATAGATGGTGTTTTAGTAGAACACTGTACTTACGGGTAATATTCTTTATTTTGTGTGCCACTTGGTTGTTTCACTAAAAAGTGATCTCAGGGGTTAGTTTCGGTTCAAGATTTAAAGAGTATCTCAGAGCAATAGCCTCAGGGAGTCCTCTGGTCTCAACTGGTCCAGTTAGTCTGGCCTTTTTTTTTTTTTCCCAAGAATTTGAGTTTTGTTCTACAGAGCAAGGGCTATTTTGAGAGAAAAGGCTAAATGGAGCTCCCCTTCACTATCAAGAATGTAAATAAAAAATAATGCTTCAATAATAATAATAATACATCTCATCACAGGGATAAGTGCCACTACAGAAGGCTTGAATGATGCAGGGTGATTTGCATCACTTTACCATTTACCTCTTCAGTCTGGCTAGAATAGAAGATGTTTTCGCTGTGTGCCATCAAGTTGATTCTGACTCATAGCGACCCTATAGGACAGAGTAGAACTGCCTCATAGGGTTTCCAAGGAGCTGCTGGTGGATTCAGACTGATGGTCTTAAAGAATGACAGAGCACTAGGATAAACTTATTCTGGTAGGCATTCCAGTTACAAGCACTGTTCCCAACATGGTCACTCTTGGAGCAGATCAGCACAGTTGTTGACCTCTTGTAAGTGCAGCTATAGGTCTAGTCAATGCTTTTTCTTCTACATCAAACACCAGGAATAGTTTTTGTTCACCTGGCAGGGGTAGCAGTAAACCTTTACAGTCTTGCTTCAGGAGTGTGTCATTCTCTGGACACACTTAGTTTATAGGGATTTTTGACCAAACCACCATTCCAGTGGATATCAGGCCAATCTACCAAGACATTGATGACATCATTCTGACAGACTTTCAGAGCTGGAAGTAGCAGATACCCTAGATGACTTGGTAAGACCTATGTGTGGCAGAGGGCAGAGGATAAATCTCATGAATACAGGGACCTATCTACTTATTGAACTATCTAGAGACATGAAGTGTGTTGAGATATTCCCTACAAAATGAAAGACAATTGCTGTACATCATACCCCCTACCACTAAGAAAGAGGTACAATACTTAGTGGGCTTTTTTAGATTTGAGAGGTAACATACACCATTGTTGCTGTTAGTTGCCATTGAGTCAACTCCAACTCATGGCAGTGCCATATATGCAGAGTAGAACTGCTCTGTAGTGTTTTCAAGGCTGTGACCTTTCGAAGCACATCACCAGGCCTGTCTTCTGAGATGCTTCTGGGTGGGTTCAAAGCGCCAACCTTTTGGCCAGTAGTTGAACACTTAATTGTGTGCACCACTAGGAACCCAACATATACCATAGATAGGTACATTATTTTGACCTATTACTGGTTTAATTGAAAGCTGCCAACTTTAGGGAAGCTATGCAAAGAGAGAAAGTTTTCCTACTGGCCCAGGCTACAGAGTAAGTACTTCTGCCTTTGGCCTTTACAACTCAGGAGTTGGATTTGGGAGCGAAGTTATGCCGTCCTTCAGCAAATAGTTATCCTCCTTTTTGAGACCTGGCTCTGGCTCCCTCCAGGGGTCTAGTGAAATTGGATGCCTGGCCATGGCATACCAGATGACCTTGTGACCTGAGCTTCCCATAATGTGCCAAGTGTTAATCTGATCTACCCAGCCATAACATCAGGGGCAGCCAGAAGCACTCCATTATCAAGAGAAAGTGATGTCTTCCGAGGGACAGAGTAGCAGGGGTGGGGGCCTGGGAACCATGCTTTCAGGGGACATCTAGGTCAATTGGCATAACAAAGTTTATTGAGAAAATGTTCTGCATCCTACTTCAGTGAGTGGTGTCTGAGGTTTTAAAAGCTTGCAAGCAGCCATCTAAGATGCATCAATTGGTCCCAACCACCTGGAGTAAAGGAGCATGAAGAACACCAAAGACACAACGAAAGTATTAGCCCAAGAGACAGAAAGGGCCACATAAACCAGAGACTTAATCAGCCTGAGACCAGAAAAACTAGATGGTGGGTGCCCAGCTACCACCAATGACCGCTCTGACAGAGAACACAACAGAGAGTCCCTGATGGAGCAGGAGAAAGGTGGGGTGCAGAACACAAATTCTAGTAAAAAGACCAGACTTAATGGTCTGACAGAGACTGGAGAAACCCTGGAAAGCATGGTGCCCGGATTCTCTATCAGCCCAGAGCTAAAACAGTTTCTGAGGCCAACTCTTCAGACAAAGATTGGACTGGACTGTGGGACATAAAATGATACTCGTGAGGAGTGTGCTTCTTAGCTCAAGTAGATACATGAGACTAAATGTGCAGCTTCTGTCCGGAAGTGAGATGAGAAGGCAGAGAGGGTTAGGAGCTGGTGAATGGACATGGGAAATCAGGGGTGGAAAGGAGGAGTGTGCTGTCACTGTATAGGGAGAGCAATTAGGGTCACATAACAATATACGTATAATTTTTGTATAAGAGACTGACTTGAAATGTAAACTTTGACTTAAACTACAAAAATAAACAAAAAAAATTGAGTGTATTTTAAAAAATGAAAAAAAAAGAGGAAGTGATGTATGTTGTCTGGGTCCAAGAAAGTCCTAAAGGCACAAGTAGGTTACCTGAGCTTCTTCTGCCACCCTTCCATGAACCCACATACATAGTCTTATGGAGAGGTGATATACATGTGGGGGCATTGGTGGCATTTGACCAAATCCCATTCCAGTGGATATCAGGCTAATCTACCAAGACACTGATGGCATCATCCTGACAGACCTTGAAAGCAGAAGTAGCAGATACTCTAGATGACTTGGTAAGACATATAGAGTAAAGACATTCTTCATATATTAAATTAGTTTATTATGCTGCTTTAGGAACTGGAAGAAAATATATTTAAAGCAAGCATACAATATACCAGTAAAAAAAACCAACCAGTGTTGTTGAGTCAACCCTGACTCATGGAGACCCCATGTGCGTCAGAGTAGAACTACGCTCCATAGGGTTCTCAATGGCTGATTTTTTGGAAGCAGATCAGCAAGACTGTCTTCCAGGGCACTTCTGGGTGAACTCAAACCTCCAAACTTTCAGTTAGCAGCTGAGCATGTTAACAGTTTGCACTACCCAGGAACTCCATATAATGTAATCCAAATTACATCTTTTGTGACTGTTTAAATTTTTTACACGTTACCTTAAAAATGGAGTGCTGGTGGCACAGTGGTTAGGAGCTCAGCTGCTAACCAAAAGGTTGGCGGTTCGAACCCACCAGCTGCTCTGCGGGAGAAACGTGGCAGTCTGCTTCCGTACAGATTTACAGCCTCGGAAACCCTATGGGGCAGTTCTACTCT